GGAAAACATCTACCACGAAAACTTGCAGTTACTTTTTCTGGTCTTTCCTCAGTGGGACCTGGCCTGCACTTCAACCAATGGACTTTTTGTAAAGTGACTTAGAGCTTGAAGCTTGAAGAGCAACAGTGATCTTCCATTGCAATAGCTTCTTGGCATTTCATTTTTTCCTTACATAATTCCCAAAGCCCTTCTACTTTCTATTTGAGTCCTAGGAACACTATTTTTACTAGCTATCACCACAGATTCCTGGGCATCAAGGGACTCTGATTGGCACTCTGGCTGGCCTTGCTGCCCTTATGGTAATGCTGGTTGAGTGCTGCATGGAGCAATTCCAACATACTCATGGACACTGGGAGCCCAGTCTCTTGGCAGCCTCTCCTACTAGTCAACTCAGGCCTGCAGAGAACAGCTGATTACTGAGTTCTCATGGATGCCAGTGTTCCTTCAACAGAGCGTTCACTATTGTTTCAGTGAAGGGGATGTCTTGTGGCATCTCCTGGGGAGCACAGTCAGGTGGTTGGTTCTTGGTTCTCATGTAGTTAATCTCTTCTGTCATTCTCATCTCCCTGAATGTCCTGATCCCTTCTTGTTCCATAATCCCTTCTATTATGTCAAGGAAGTTGTAGTAATTCCAACTTATATACTAGGCCATCATTGTGTCCAAGCTTCATGGGGCTATCCCAACAGAATATTAGGTCTGGATTTATGTGCCCTTGCCAGAATATCGAGTCCCAAGTCATTACTGAGGGCCTCTAAGTTAATCAGCTGTCCACGTACAAGCTAAAGTAAGAGCACTTCTTGGTTTACCACCTTCAAGACCCATTTCCGGCACATTCTCTTATTCCTGCTGAGATGTTAATATGTGATAGTATTAGATTAAAGCTATTTTCTTTTCTTTTTTTTAAATTTAATTTTATCTTGTCAATATACAATGTGGTTGATTATTGTGGCCCATTACCAAAACCTCCCTCCCTCCTCCCTATCCCACCTCCCTCCCAACAAAAAGCTATTTTCTTTTCTTTTTTTAAATTTAATTTTATCTTGTCAATATACAATGTGGTTGATTATTGTGGCCCATTACCAAAACCTCCCTCCCTCCTCCCTATCCCACCTCCCTCCCAACAAAAAGCTATTTTCTTTTAGAACAGGAACTGTACTTAATGGATTGGGCTATGCTGAAACTTCGGCCTGAAATAAGGAGTGGTGGGGCAGGTCTTGAAACGAACAAACATTAACTTGCCTCCGGTTATTTGAATAATATCCAGGAGTAAGGTGGCTGTTCTCTTGCAAGGGAGAGGGATCTGCTGCTGGTGGCCCTGAAGGTTTAGGGAACCTGGTGGTTTGATATTTTCAGCCTCGTCCACCTAAATATCCCTATCTCAGGCTTGAGGGTTCCACCATTTTAGGTTCAGGCCATGATATTTGACTTAATTGCTTCAGCAATTACCAGCCCTCTCTCATACTCGTATTATTAATATTACCCTCTCTATCAAAACATTTCAATTTGCATGCACTTACTATATCATCCAACTTAAAAGCAAAACCAACAAAAACACTACAGTTTTGCCTTCCTTTCATACTCAACTCTTTATTCTCCTTAACAACCAAATTTACTAAAAGTATTATATATTCACCATGTCTCTGCTTTTCCATTTCATTTCCTACTTGACCTTCCCCTCTGAATCTATCTTCTAACCCCACATTCCACCAACAGTGTTCTTATTAGGGTCACCAATTAAATCCATGTTGCCAAATCCAATGGTTACTTTGGCATGGAATTTAGTTTTTGTCAGCAGCATTTGAAAAGTTGTTCTCTCTCTCCCTGTAACACAGTGATGCCTGTGTAACATTTCCTGTGTCACATTTCCATTCCACCACATTTTCCTTGCTTTTTTCTTATATTCCTAGGAGCTCTTCCTCGTTTTCTTTTGCTGGTTCATTCTCCTCCATCTAACCTCTAAAGATTCAAATACCTTATGGCTCAGATCTGGTGTCACTTTTCCATCAATAACCTTTTTGTGTGTAATCTCATTTGTATGCCGATGAATTCCAAATTTGTATCTCTGACCTCTATCCTTAGTTACAGATTCATGTAGTCAATTTATTTGACATCTTCACTTGGTTATTCCATAGGCCTTTCAAAAATAATATGTAAAAAATAGAATTTTTGTTTCTATTCTCCGCTCCCTTTAACAGTTCCGCCTCAATCCTAGGTACCAGTGCACTGCTAGTTGTTAAAGTAAAAACAATCTAGAAGTTTTTTGAATCTTCTTTTCCTTCAATTCTGTCCCTTCACCTAATCCATTATCAAGACCTGTCAGCTTTACCTATGTCATATATATAACTCACTCATTAAAAATATTCCGTAACCACGTTGCCACCATCAAAGTGTGAACCCCTGTGATATCTCATATGGACGACTTACTATAATAACTTACTAGCTGGTCACCTTAATTGTACTTCTTCCGAACACATGCACTACTCATTCTTCTTATAACCAAAGTAAACAAATCTATACATAAATCAACTCATGTTGCACATGGTCTCAATTCCTTCAATATTCTCCCATTGCACTTATATTAAATCTAAATTACCTCTTGCAACCTACAAGGCCTTTTACGATCTTGGCTCTTATTTCCTGCTAGTCAGTCTTTACTATGCTCTGGCATTCAGACGCATATTGCTCTTTCTCCAGCACTTTCTCCTAAGGTCCTCACACTTGCTCTACCGCCTTTTTGAGATGTGATTTCTCCAGAATATTATACAGCTAGATTATATTTGTCATTCAAGTCTCAGCTCAGATTTCACTTTCTCAGGTAGGTCTATCCTGACTATGCTATATGAATATAAAGCTATCCTTCATCTCAGTTATGCTCAATTGCATTAATTATGACTTATAATTATTTATTTGTTTACTTTATCATTATTTGTCTTCCATGATGTTTTCCATGACTGTACATTCATGCGAGCCTGGGCTTCATCACATTTCATCTGTATTTCCAGAACCTGGAAATGCTGTCAAGTGCCTAACAGCCAGACATTTAATGTGTGAATGGGTATCTATTTATTAAGCAAGGAATAAAAACAGAAGGACAGAAAGTTGTCTGCATTCTCTGTAGTCCCTTCACTGCACTCTCTTAAAGAAAGCCTGAAAACTCTACCCTAAATACTGGGAGTAGAGGAAGCAGAAGAAATATTCCTTTCAACCCTGCATTGTCATCGTTGCATGACTTCTCAGAATTAACATAATCTCAGAAGATATACTTTGCTGCCTTGGCTACATCACCTTTATCTGAGATATGCCAGTAAGGAGACTTATGTACAGTTAGAAGTCACTGACGCTGCTACTCTTTCCACCTATGTCCTTTGCTTGGCTGTTGTCCACAGAGAAATAAAATGCAGAGATGAGGTGCTATATTTGCAATGTAAGTGGCTGCTCAAGTTTCTAGGGTCTACAATACAGAGACATCAGAGTGGAACTTCCAAGATTCCCCTTAGTACTCAGGGTTCTTTTGTTCCCATGCTTAATAAATCCATATAAACTGGGCCTCTGCTTAGGTGGGTTGTGGGAACAGGTATTCTTTTAGACAATATTAAAAGAAATGTAAGCTTCAGTCTATGCATCTCATTTTCCATTGTTTCTTTTTTCCCCTTTTTTATTTATTGAGACATAATTGGTTGTACATGTCTGTGGAGTACAGCATTGATTATCCATACCAGTGTGCAATTTCTATTGTTTCTTTAACTTATAAGGCACTACATAAATCTTTTAAAATTTATCAATTTAATCAATATGTATCTTTTGCACTGTCAGATTCAGAGAAGAAAAATTAACATACAAAAATAGTGTAAAAGTAATTTTGATTTTTACCAACTTTATTTGAGAATATTTAATATGTCTTTATTTATAAACATTGTGTTTTTCTGTATACAAAATTCACACTGCTCTAGGCTGGTTAGTAACAGAGCTGAACACCAAAAATATCTTTACCACAACACAATGATGTGATGGTAATGGAATGTCCCAAATAGATATCTCATAGATGTCTTATTTACAATCCAAATAATATTTCCCTGGGCTTTAGAGATGATCTGCATTGAATCAATATTTTCTTGACAGTTTTGATATTTTAACATCTCAATATATAAGCTTTTGATTGAAGATCTCATCATGGTATCTTGACAAACATTGTTTGGTGCAGTCCAAGTTTGCTAAAAGCAAACTTACGCATGTCTTTTGTGGAGAAATTTCTTTCAATAAGCAATCAATACTGGTTCTTTTTAGGTTCTTTAATTTACAGAAATTTTCTGCATAAATTTTTCCTCTCTCGCTTGTAGAATGTCTTTCATTCATTCATCTATGATCTCTGAACTTACTATGAAAATATTTATTTTAATCACTATTTATATCTTAACTATTTATAATCAGTATTAATTTCTGCCATGTTTATGGAATTCCACAGCATTTATTAAAGACTGTCACCTTATTGAGTCTTTCCCAAAGGTAGAGCTTAGTTAGATGATCTGAAAAGAAAAATCTAGCTAGGACCATAGGATGAACCAGCTGCTTTTCATAGCAATGCAAATGAAAGCAATATGCTATTACAGTTGTTCTGAATTAGTCACACAACTTTGCATCTGGAGAAACTATTTAGAATTGACTACGAAAATGCTCTCCCCTTCATGGTTAATATTAGAATATTAACTTCTATTTGTTCTGAAACTTGTAAAGAAAACACCGATTCTGAAGAGAGGAAGAAAGATAGAAGAGAAAGACGGAGAAAGAAAGAGAGACAAGGAGACAGATAGAGACAGAGAGATACAGAGGTACAAAGTCCGCACTACATGGGATTCTCTAAGTTGTAATTTTAGGTATTCTAAATAAATTTTAAGAGTAATTAACCACATGAAATGAACATTAATGCAAGAAGATAACTTTTAAAATCTTGTCTTCCATTTTCCTAGAAAACAATAGTTTTTTTCCCCATATCTGTTTATTTTTAGAATTTTCTTCTTTTTAGAATATATTTTACTTTCCAAAGCCCCCTTAGAGATGCTTGTCTTAACTTATTGTTTCCCAGTATTAGGATAAACGAATGGCTTGAGGGGCAGATTAGAGCTACCAACTCACCAAAAATCACAGCTAATTCACTCTCTGGCATAAAGTAGCTGGAGGTGGCTATGAGAAAGGCCAAATGGTAGGCAGCAAAAAGCAGGAGGAAGGAGATGACGGCTTTCAGGGCTCCCACGTGGGCCTCTGTGCTGGGGTCTCTGCACCCTGTGGCATTCAGCTGCATTTGCCTGATGTGTCTCCACAGGGAGAAGATCAAGAGGAGGAATGAGATCAGGGACACAGAGAAGGGGAACAGGGTTAACAGGTTGAGAAATATCTTGGTAGAAGAATATTGAGTCTTATTTATTCTGCATCTCCAAGTTAAGTTTGTTTTCCACTTTTTCTTGACACAATGCCTGAAATCATCATCCAAATTCCCAGCGAACGGAAGGCTAATAAACACAGACAGTGCCACGCACCCAAGGAGAATCCTGAGAATCACCCTGTCAATTTTCCACTTCATCCAGAGGAAACGGGGGTGGAAAAACTTAGCTATCTTGAGGAAATAGAAAATGCTGAGGCAGGTGGCAAACCAGACACTTAAGTGGTTGGTTAGTGTCCAGAAGAAGTCAACGATTCTCATTTGTTTACCGCTGGTATAGACATCTGGATACAGCACCAATATAAAACAATCTAACAGTATTATACTTAACAGACAAATTCTAGATATAGCCAGACTTGTGAGGATTAAATCAATGGAGAAAATCTTCTTATTCTTGACCCAGTCCATGCAGTTTACCAACCCAATGAACGCATTCCCTAAGATCCCCACTGAAAACTCTCCAGCTGCTATGAGCATTAAAGTACTCTCCAATTTATCTGGCATGTTTAAATGTAGAAATATATAGCTGGTTTCCAGTTGACCAGATGGAGTTTGAGATCTACACCTGCTTCTTAGATTTTGCTGTAATTTTCTTTACCTCGTTCATGGAAGTCTGTCTTGTGATGGAGATTGGAATGATAAATGAAGACTGCCTCTATCTTCATTAAATCCTAATTAGTCCTGACAAGCAGTGTGGTTGGCGATCCTTGGCCTCACCACTGTGTTTTCATTCACCTTCTCAGCAAGCAGGCTGTTCTTTTCCACATTTGGCTAATTTAGGCTCAGCTACTGTTACGTAAGATGCAAATTGGGTCAATTCCCTTTCATGTTCCTGCACTCTCTTTCTGAGTCTAGGTTTTACAAATTTGGATTCATTAATCTGTGATACATACTAGTAACCTCAGTAGGGTTGCCAGATTTATCACATAGAAGTGCAAGACACTCTGTTAAATTTGAATTTCAGATAAACAATGAACAATTTTTTAGAGTATTTTCAAATTGCATGAGATTAGTAGCTTCGGGAAGTACCGAAGTTTAAATTTAATTGGGTGTCCTGTATTTTATCTGACAGAATTAAACCTCAAGGATTGGCAAGCAATTAGAAAATTGGCAAAAACTAAAATTTGTGGAAGAATCTTCATTTTGTTGAATGGTAATATTGATTCTTAGTAAAGAATCCAAAATTTTGGTTTATAGTGAGAGCTTTTTATTTTCAGAAAATTTAAAAGGTTAACACTAAATATATTTGGTTCAAAACTTTTTTTTAGCTCATTATCTTGATTGTTCTGATGAACAATTATATGGCACAATGCTTGTTGAAATAATGCATTGTCTTATTGGTCAGGTAACATTTAATGGTCACTTAGTTTGTGGTGCTGTATGTAATATGTTGAAGGAGCTGTAATAAAAAGGACTATCGATTACCCTATAGCTTTTTCTTTTCATTTAAGATGCTCTCAAGGAAATTTTGGGAGGTGCTGGATATGTCTGTTACCTTGACTGTGGTGGTGGTATTGTGGGTGTTTGGCTATGTTCAAACTCATGAAATTGTACACATTAAATATGCAGTTCTTTGTATATCAATTTTACCTCAATATAGCTGTGTACACAAATACTGTTAGTCAACTGCATAACCCATAAATATGTATAATAAAAAATAAATATTTCTTATGAAAATAAATGAAAAATAAAGTTCTCAAGGGCAGTTGTATTTGTGAGAGAGAACAGAGTAAAATCCTGTATTTCATTCTACTCTCCACCCTCCTCCATACCAAATTGCATCTATCTAGCCCTTTCCCTCTTTTAGCAAGAGACTCAGATTAAATTTACTACATCTTTACAGACTAAATCCTGTTTTAAAAGAGCATCTTTAATTTAGAGTGACTGAGAAACGCTTCACTACATAGTACTTCCATGGGATAATTCTTGGGCACTCACACCTTCCTGGGAGTTCATGTCTCCTCTCATTCTTCTTAAAGGACAAACCTTCATTTCTGAGATGCAGTCCTGATGTTTGGACAAAGGGCATGACTATGTAGCCGTGTCCACAGGCAACTACTTTCCTCTGATTTGGGAAGTGATCCCTGACCCGGACATATCATTTCTACTTCATAGTGCATCCTAGTAAGTAAAGCACCCACAGTAACTAGAATAATATCTTTGCCCAAATAATTTTAGACTAATTTTTAGAGAAATAAGTGTAGATTTTATGCGTTCCAGTGATGTAAGCGTGGAACTTATATGAATGTTACAGTTAAGAAAAAATTCTGCAAAAGAGCATTTTGTCACAAGCCTATTACTTTGAACCCCAGCCACTGTGGTCACTGAGAATACCTGAAATAATGGAGACACAGAAAACAAAACATGGAAGAAAAAAACTTCAGATCAATAAGGTGAAACCTTCACAGAAGCATTAATCCTTTAAAACATTTATTTTATCTTAACCTTCAGAAAAATATAAAGTTTATGCCAGCATAGAATATACAGGTACCTTGTAAAATATATTAATATATTCCATTAAAAGAACATGTATTCTCCTGTCTTACACAACAAATAGCATAATATATTAGAAATACATTGATGAAGTTTATATACTTAAGAATGTAAATACCAGTATTTTGCACAATAGTAGGCAAAACCAGAATTAGACACAGGAAATGGTGGGAGTAAGAGCAAAAACACACAGCCAGATCAGAACAGCCCTCCCTCGCTGTGCCAGACCAAACGTGCAGTAACGTTCGAGCGAGAAGGGGTTGGTGTTCACAGCAGAATGACATTTAGTAATGATTCCTATTTTTCTTCTTTTTTTTCTTTTCTTTTCTCTAATGCAGTCTATATTTGTTATGTGAAGATCCGAGTTCCTAGTTCACAACCTAGATGGGAGGAACTCAGCAGAGTCATGAATGGAGCACAACTAAGGCCAGCAATGAAAACGTATGACAGAAGAAAATGAGAAACCAGGAAGGCAGCTCAGGTGCAGTTTCCCAGAGTAAAATCCTAAAAGAATCTAACTAGGCAATACACGCCTAACATTTGCATTGAGAAGGCAAGGAGAGAAGATTGAGCTCTGAGATTCTTGGATAAAAGGGAGTGTAGAGATGAGAATGTCTGGGCTATAAAGAACTATAAAGGATGTATTCATTAGTTTGCTAATGGGTCCTGATAACACTCAAAGATGTGCATCCAAAATAAATGAAAAACTGGAAAGAAATGAGAGTGGACCTAAAAAAAATTAGAAAATACTAAGGTACTTCAAAAAGGTTGTGGGAAAGTGGACTTAAAAGATAGTACAAATCTTTCCAAGATTTTTTTGAAATACCCTCTTTAAATTTGCTTTTAAAGACCATTTATAAAACTAAGATTTTACATCATGAAGGCTATTTTTCTACACGTCAGCATCCTGACATGCCTGCCTCAGTTTGTTATTTACATTAATTAAAATAAGTGAGTGACCCAAGGGATAAAGAATTGCTACTATTTCTCCAACCATCATAGCTAACTTTCTCTCATAAGACAGCTAAAGGTCATCAAAAAAGAAACCACATAGTATATAAAAAGGAAGAAGAGAAAGAAGTCACAGTTTTCATGGCTTTTACATGGGCCTCTGCACTGGGGTCTCTAAAGCCTGCAGCACTGAGTTTCATTTGCTTAGTATGTCTCCACAGGGACATTATTAAAAGGAAAAATGAGATCAGAGACACAGTAACCGGGACAATTGCAAACAGGTTAAAGAGAGTCAATGGGTCGAAGCATTGAATTGTACTTACATGAAACATTTCAGTGGTATTTGTTTTATGTTTTGCAGTTTCAGGAAACCCATAATTACAACTCAGAACCACTACTATTATAAGGCCGATCAACAAGGCAGTGGGGAAGCCCCCCAGCAGGACCCCATGAACCACCCTGTTAATTCTCCACTTCAGCCAGAGAAAAAGTGGATGAGAGAAATTGGCTATCTTGAAAAAACAAGACATTGAGGCAGCTGGCAAGCCACATACTTAAATAGTTGGCAAGAGTCCAGAAGGTATAAATGACGATCTTTATTATTTTTATAAACGTCTGGGTAGAGTATCATTATAATGCTGTTTAGTACCATTACACAGATCAAACACATTCCGGAGACAGCTAAATTATGAGAATGGAGTCAATTGAGATCATTTTTTTCTTAATTCAGTCAATCCAGTTGACTAGTCCAATGTATCCATTCCCCACCATTCCTTTTATGAGTTTTCCAGTTATTATAATGGTAAAGATGTTGTTTTTAGTACTGATAATGTGTGTAGAGAGAAAACCCTGATCTCAGATATCACGGCAGATGGGCTAATTTGCAGATGACCAGCTGGGACAAAATAGATAAATGTTTCAAATCATGCAATAATGCTTTCATCTGCCATTATGTTGACTTTAAAATCATTCCAGAAGTGTCCAGCTCTCTTCTGAAACAGAATTGTTTCTATATTCATGAACAGTAAACCAACTGATTGCTCCAAATGAGCATCTTGACTAGTTATTTATAGCCTGGGTAAATTATAATTATTACCCTTTAGCAAGCGATAACCGAATGTTTGGCTAAAATTGCTTTCATGAAAATTTTAAAAGATTTCATTTCTTGAATTTAAGATAGGCTTCTTGCTGTAAGTTCTCTATATTTGGATCTGTCAAATTGAGTTTTTCATAGAAAGTCAGAAAAAGCAGATGAAAACGTGTGTTTAATAAAAATCAAAATGTGTAAATGAAACTTTATATCCATTACCATAAGTTATAAATTATCCACAAGTCAGGTATCTTGGTAGAAATAGATTTTCGTTTTGGAAATGATCGATACAATCAGATTACAGAGAGTTAACATTCAGTCAGAGGTTAATAACTTTCATCTTCATTTAAATGGTTAATCAGGAAATGGTATAGTACAAATCTAATTGTGTATGTCATAGTGTTATTAGTCAGACAGGCACACAGCAATATTTACTAAGAATTTGCTCTTCATGCAGTTGTTTATTAGAAGTGAAGAATGTCAGATAAAGATATGTTATCTTCAGTTTTACTTAATATGAGAAATACCCTCCAGGACAATTCACTTCCTGAAATATTGTCTCTTAGATAATAAGCATTTTCATCTAAAATTAAGGAAATTCACACTTTGCATTATCTTAGTCCCAATCAACTCCTTTTATAAACTTTATGATCTCACAGTATAGTCATTTCTCTAGATGGGGGCATCACACAAAAGTAATAAATAATGTGTTTTACCAACAATATTTCCAGGGAATAGGACAAATCCTACTATTTAGAAAGAACTTAGATCTATTCATTTTTTTTGGGAAACATGACTTAGCCCACAATACATTTGAATGTAGGTAATAGAGATCACAATAAACTATGGTTCTTCTTCTATTTAAATACTTTAATAATGTAAACAACATATATAGTATTTTTCCATTTTTTACATGTGTATAATGTATAATAGGAAAGCATGATTTTAATAATTTAAAGAAACCTAGTTATCTGTAAAACATTACCAGAAACAAAATAGAAAAGGAAGTGATGTCAATGGAAAAACATGTCAAAGATTTCTGAGTTGGAAGGGTAGAGAGAACATTCCAAAGAATCTTTAGGAACTAACCCCTTAAACTGCCATCACCAGGTAGGGTTATTTATGAAACAACCTGACGACTGGGACTCTCAACCTTCTTTTTCAAGGTGGTTCTAGGATTCACGTTCCTAACTCTACCAATGCCCCTTTCCTGGTCAAATCTTCATTCTTGAGATCATACTCATATATCATGCTAGGTAGAATCTTACCGAAGACTGTTTTTCTCTCCTCCTGATGAGGACAAACTTTTCCATAAATGGAGGGGATAGCACAGAAAATATACTTTGGTTCAAAGAACACAAGTTTATTAACGTCCTTGATTTTATAGGAATGGCTGATGAGTTCTAAAATCTCTTTCCCACAACCCATTTGTCTGAAATTCTTCTACTCACTGAGTTCAAGGCCTTTTCCAGCATATGGCAGAAAGAAATAGAACCTGTTTCCATTCAGGCAGCGACATGAAATGTTAGTGTGGGTTTTAGATTCATTTTCCCTGTGAAGACAAAGAAAACATATGTGGTTCAATGATGACGTTAGGTTCAAAATTATACAAGAGGAAATGTGAAGGAACACAAAAAGAATCTTTAGAATAAGAGTAGATATTAATAATTTCCAATAGCACATTTAAAGAAATGAATGTAGATACTTTGGAGAAGGGAGAAAGTCTTCTGCTGATTTCTTTCTGCTTGTAATTCAGGATACTCTCTAGGGTGCTCTATGGAACAAAGTGTTTCCTTCCTTTGTGGAAATCCTTTACAAAACTTAACATGTACAAAAAAGCTTCTTTCAGCTTGTTACTCTCTACTATCAGGATGAATGCATGGCCTGATGGGGAAATGACAGTCATTATGCCACCAGCCATCACCACTAATCTTCTCTGAGGAATCAGAAAGCTAGAGGTGATTACAGGAAAGACTGCATAGTACACAATAGGGAGGAGCAGAAAGAGTGCCACCGCCTTTATGGCCCTCCTGTGGGCCTCAGTGCTGGGGTCTCTTGACCCTGTGACATGAAGTTTCATCTGTTCGGAGTGTCAGAATAGGGACAAAAGTAACAGGAAAAATGAGATCAGGCAAAGAATAAAGGGAACTATAGCCCCAGGTTCAGAGTCATCTGTTTGATGACATTTGGAATTTTATTCACTTTGAATTCCCAAGTAATATTTTCTTCATGACTGGCCTTGAAGAAGTGATGCCACATGTCATCTTTCATTGAAAAACTAATAATTAAGGAGATCAGAAAGGATACTAGAAGCATCCCAAGGATGATTCTCTTGATCTTTAGATTCAGGCATAGAAAAAAATGGGTGGAATGTGTTGGCTATCTTGAGTAAACAGAAGGTGCTGTGGCAAGAAGTAAACCAGACACTTGAATTATTGGCAAGTGTCCAGAAAACATCCAGAATGTTCAGTAGCTCACCACTGTCATCTGCATCTGGAGAGATCAGCATAATGAAGCCATTTGAAGATATTACACACAACAACAGACTCTGGAGATGGCCAGGCTGGTCAGGATGATGTCAGTCAAGGAGATATCCCTCCTTTTGAACCAGCTGATGCAGTTAACTAGTACAATGAATCCATTTCCCCAGATCCCTATAGTCAATTCACCAGCAACCAAAATCATATATATTACCTGTACTGTACTTGGCATGTTAGCAGGGAATTCTGATTTTGAATATCATCAATCATACATTGACTTCCAGCTGACCAATGAAGAACAGTGTATATGTCTGCCACTTAGAACATGATGCAATTGTCTTTATCTCTCCTTTTTGTCAGCCATGATCTAGGTCAAGAAGATAGCCAGTTCTGCTCAGGGCTAAAACTACCTAAAGAATCAACCAATTGAAGCCAGTAATTTCCTTTGTGTGTAGTGGTGATTGATGTAAAATCCAAATCGAAATGGATCTGATTTCTTGAAACTGCATAATCTTTCTCATTTTAAGCTCTCTATATTTTGGATTCATCAATCTGAACTGTTGACCAGAAATTCAAAAAGGAATCAATTAACTGGAAAATACGGCTAAAATTTAATTTGAGATAGACTATTTCAGCATCATTACCATCTCTAATGACTTGAAAAGTACCCCAAATGTGTGATCTATTTTGTACAAATGAAGATTTTAGAGCTTAAAAATAATTGTGAACTTAAAGTTTAGACAGTTAACATTAATAATTTCATCCTCAAAGTAACACATTGGCTTTATTAGTTAGGATAATTAAGATAGGTCAATAGAGTTTTTTGTTTTTCCTTAAAAAGCACAGCTATTTGACTTCTAGCTCTTTCCCTCTGTGATGCGGTAGACAGAGCACTGCAGATACGGTAGTAGTGCCAGTTATTTCTAAGAGTTTGATCTCAGAATCCATATTTGTATGCAACCTACTATGGTTTGTTAAAATATGAATGTAATCTTCTTTATAATACCTTATCTTATAGAAACCCAAATGATTTACTTTTAAAAACAGCATGATAATATAGTGCAAATAACAGTCACGTGTCACAGTATAACAACTGATTCAAAACATTTAGAACTAAGTTTCAACAGGACAGAATTTTGCTTAATAGAATTTACATTTTCTTTCTTTACTTTAAAATTGTTTTCATAGCCTACAGAATTGGTTTTACATGGTACCTATATATTTTTTGTATTGGTTATGAATATTCACGGGTACGAAGCTGATTGTCACCACTCATGCCCAAGATGTGACGGCCCGATCCATACTGGCAGCATGCCCATTACCATAAATTGTGATTATACCCTGTATCCCCCACCCAGTTACCTTTGACCTCCCTCCCCAACCCCTTTTCCCCACTCCCCTTTTATTCCTAGGTATGCTTTCTCCCTCTGCAAGTCCAACGCACCACTGTGGTCTTTCTTTCCTTCTTTCTTTCTCTCTTAGCTCTGACTTATGAGTGAGCACATGTTCTATTTCTCCCTGTGTGCTTTGCTTATTTCACTCAACATAAATTTCTCCAAGCTCATCCATGTTGTTGTAAATGGCGGAATTTCATTCCTTTTTATGGCAGAGTAGTACTCCATGGTGTATATATACCACATTTTCCTTATCCAGTTGTCCATCCATGGACCTTTAGGTTGGTTCCATATCTTGACTATTGTGAATGGAGCTAAGATGAGCATGGGAGTGCAGGCATCCCTTTGACATGATGATTTCCATGACTTTGGTTATATACCCAGAACTGGGATTGATGGATCATATGGAAGATCTATCTGTAGTTGCTTGAGAAACCTCCACACAGTTTTCCATAGTGGTTGTACTAATTCACATTCCCACCAAGAGTGTAGGAGTGTTCCCTTCTCTCCACATCCTTGTCAGCATTTGCTATTCTCTGTCTCTTTGGTTATAGCCTGTCTAATTAGGGTGAGGTGGTATCTCAATGTGGTTTTAATTTGCATTTCCCTGATGACTAGTTGAGCATTTTTTTCATGTACTCATTGACCATTTGTATGCCTTCTTTGAACAATGTCTATTTAGCTCCCTTACCCATTTTTTAGTTGGGTTATTTGTTTTTTTTACTGTGTAATTGCCTGAGTTTAGTTGGGTTATTTGGTTTTTTTTACTGTGTAATTGCTTGAGTTTCTTGTATATTATGGATATTAATCCCTTGTCAGACGCATAGTTAGCAAAAATTTTCTCCTACTCTGTTGATTGTCATTTCACTCTGTTAATTTTTTCCTTTGCTATGCAGAAGCTTTTCAGTTTGATATAGTCCCATTTGTTTACTTTTTTCTTTTGTTGCCTGTTCTTTCAGGCTCATGTTCATAAAGTCTGTTTCCAGACCTAGGTCCTGAAGTGTTTCACCTCTATTTTCCCTTATTAATTTTACAGTTTCAGGTCTTTTACTTAAGTCTTTAATCCATTTGGAGTTGGTTTGATTCTTCTGCATATGGATAACCAATTTTCCCAGCACCACTTATTGAAAAGGCAGTCTTTTCCCCAAGGTATATTTTTGTTGCCTTTGTCCAATAACAGATGGCTGTAATCCTAAGGGATGATTGCTGGGTTCTTTATTCTGCTTCACTGGTCTGTCTATTTTTATGCCAGTACCATACTGTTTTGGTTACTATAGCTTTGTAGTATAATTTGAAGTCAGGTAGTGTTATGCCTCCAGCTTTATTATTTATTTATTTATTGCTCAGGATTGCTTTGGCTGTTTGGCATCTTTTGTTATTCCAAATGAATGTTGAGATTGTTTTTTCCATTTTGTGAAGAATGTCATTGTTATTTTGATGGGGATTGCATTGAATCTGTAGATCACTTTGAGTAATATAGACATTTTCACAATATTAATTGTTCCAATTCAAGAGCATGGAATGTCTTTTCATCTTTTTGTGTCTTCTTTAATTTCTTTCAGTAGTGGTGTGTAGTTCTCATTATAGAGATCTTTCACCTCTTTGATTAAATTGATTCTTAGGTATTTTTTGTTGTTGTTGACTGTTATAAATGGGCTTGCTTTCTCGATTTCTCTTTCTGTTAGCTCATCATTGAAGAACATAAATGCAACTGATTTGGGGGCATTTATTTTATATCCTGCCACATTACTGAAATTATTAACTAGCTCTAGGAGTTTTTTTATAGAGTCTTTTGGTTTTTCTATATATAGTATCATGTCATATGAAAATAGGCACAGTTTGACTTCATGTTTTCCAATCTGGATGCCCTTTATTTCTTTCTCTTGCCTGATTGCTCTGGATAGTACTTCCAGTAGTATGTTAAATAGAAGTGGTGAGAATAGGCGTACTTGTCTTGTTCTTAAGGGAAAAGCCTTCAGTTTTTCCCCATTCACAATGATACTGGTGGTAGGCTTCTCATAGATGGTTTTTATTGTGTGGAAATCCTTTCCTTCTATGCTTAATTTCTTGAGAGTCTTTATCATGAAAAGATGTTGAATTTTGTCAAATAATTTTTCAATGTCTAGTGAGATAATCATATGGTTTTTGTCTTTGATTTTCTTGATGTGCTGTATCACATTTATTGACTTTCATATGTTGAGCCATCCTTGCATCCCTGGAATGAATTCCACTTGATCATGGTGTATAATGTTTTTGATGTGTGGCTGTATTCTAATTGCTAATATCTCGTTGAGGACTTTTGCATCTATGTTCATGGAGGATATTGGCCTGTAATTTTCTTTTTTTGTTGTGTCTTTATCTGGTTTTGGTATCAGAGTTATGTTGGCCTCATAGAATGAGTTTCGGAAAATGGATTCTGTTTCAATTTTTTGGGATAGTTTGAGGAGGATTGGTATTATTTCCTCTTAAAGATTTGATAGAATTCAGCTTTAAAGCCATCCGGACCTGGGCTTTTCTTAGTTGGAATTTTGCTGATTACCACGTCAATCTTGTTGCTTTTTATTGATGTGTTCAGGTTTTCTATCTCTTCTCAGTTCAGTCTGGGTTGTTTGTATGTGTCCAGAAACTTATCCATATCTTCCAGGTTTTCATATTTGTCGTCATACAGTCATTTATAATAGTCTCTAATGATTCTTTGTATTTCTGTGGTATCAGTTGTAATGTCTCCCTTTTCGTTTCTGATGTTTGTTATTTGGGTCTTCTCTCTCTCTCTCTCTCTCTCTTTTGTTAACCTAGCTAATGGTTTGTCTACTTTATTTATCTTCTCAAAGAACTAACTTTCTGTTTTGTTGATCTTTTCTATTGTTTTTTGGGTCTCTATTTCATTTAGGTCTGCTCTGATCTTAATTATTTCCTTCCATCTACTACTTTTAGAATTGGATTGCTGTTGTTTTTCAAGTTCTTTGAGGTGTAGTGTTAGCTTGCTTATTTGAAGTATTTCCATTCTTTTGATGTAAGTATTTATTGCAATAAATTTGCCTCTTAGTACTGCTTTTGCAGTATCTTACAGATTTTGGTATGGTGTGTCTTTATTTTCATTAGCTTCTAGAAATTTTTGATTTACTGTTTTATTTCTTCTAGGACCCATAGATCATTCAGGAGCCTATTGTTTAGTTTCTGTGTATTTGTATAGTTTTCAGGTTTTGCCTGTTATTAATTTCCAGTTTTAATACATTATGGTCTGAAAAGATACTTGGAATGATTTCAGTTTTTTAAAATTTGCTGAGACTAGAATTGTGGCCTAATATGTGGTCTTTTCTGGAGAATGTCCCATTGCTGATGAGAAGAAAGTATATATTTAATTATTGGGTGAAATTGTCAGTATGTATTTACCAGGTCCAGTTGGTCTAAGGTGTTGTTTAAATCCTGTGTCTTTTTGTTGATTTGCTGCCTAGAAAATTTGTCCCACACTGAGAGAGGGATGTTCAGGTCACCCACTATTAATGTATTAGGGCCTATTTCTTTCTTTAGTTCAAAGAGTGTTTGCTTTATATATCTGGGTGCTCCAGTTTTGGGTGTATACATATTTATGGTTATGTCTTCTAGCTGGATAGATCCTTTTTGTCATTATATAGTGGCTTTCTTTGTCTCTTTTTATGTTTTTTGGTTTAAAGTCGATTTTATCCAATATAAGAATACCTATTCTCATTCATTTTTGGTTTCTGTTTTCATGATATATCTTTTTCCATC